GGGCCACTATAGTGGCCTTTCGTATGATGCCACTGAGGTACTACGGGCCACTATAGTGGCCTTTCGTATGATGCCACTGAGGTACTACGGGCCACTATAGTGGCCTTTCATAAGATGCCACTGAGGTACTATGGGCCACTATAGTGGCCTTCCATAAGATGCATTATATTGCATAATGTTATTTCCTCTCATACTGTAAATTAAAGAGCGCATGCTAAGACGTTATAAATACCCTGGAATACCCTTTATTTATAAATACCCTTTGGAGAGAAATTTTTTCGTACGAAAACATTCAAGCAGCTTGGGTTCTCCGCCGCGGTACTCCCGCTGACGATCGGCGTCGCGTAGCGTGCAGTGATGTCGCGGCGCTCCGTTCAGCGGAAGTACCGCGGTGGAGAACCCGCCCGTAGCGAAAGGGTTAAAGCCAAGTGCAACATTTTTTCTATATATAATAATATATAAAAATAATTTTAATAAATAGAAACTCGTGCAGCAACGTTCCTAGCTGCTTTCGCATAAAATAAAAAATAAATAAATTTCGCTGCAAATGCATGAAATAGTAATTATTATAGAGAAACGTGTGAATATATATTCTGAATGTTGGATCCTTGATTTATAAATGATCATTGTTTTATTCATTGAATGAGAGCTTCGCTTACCAATTTATCTTTCCAGGTACGTCTCCAGAGGAGGTCTGAGAGCTGGGGAAGATCCATACGCGAGAAACAAATTCAATCAGGAGGCTTCCGATGGTCTTGCCAGCAACAGGGACATTCCAGACACTCGCAGCGCCATGTAAGTCAAGCTTGAATGAATAACAATAAGAACATACATACTGGCGGCCAGTCGGACAATTAATTTGAATTTTTTTACGAACGTTATGTCGAATTGTTGATTTAACGTCTCAGCTTTTTATTGAGTCGAAGAAACAAAGCAAGGAAAATACGAGATACTATAATAGGGTAAAAATAGGATAGTTAACTGAAAATAGCAAAAACGATTCTGCAATAAATTCTGTAATGGATTCTGCAATGAATTCTGTAATAAAGAGATCTACTGTACATAAGCTTCGAATAATAGAATAATTGTAAAATATAAAAATCTAGTAACGTACATCAGCAATAATTATTGCATATTAAAATCTGAGAACGTGCTCTATTAATGATTATTACTAATTAAAATCGGAGAACGACTTAAGAGTAATATAATCTAAGAAGGTTCCTTCTTAATGATTTAAAAGTAATAAAAAATTTAAGGAGGTTCTTTATTAATGATTTAAAAGTAATGAGATCTAAAAGGAGGTTCTTTATTAATGATTTAAAAATAATAAAAAATCTAAGAAGGTTCATTATTAATGATTTAAACATATTAAAACCTAAGCTGGTTCGTTATATTAACGATACAAAAATATCAAAACTAAAGCAGCAACTTTATTAACGATTTAAAGATATTAAAATCAAAACAGTTTCTTCATCTACGATTTAAAAATACAATAACTAAAGCAGCCTCTTTACTAACGATTTAAAGATATACAAATCTAAGAAGATACTTCATTAATTATTATACAATCTAAGTGGACACTAGAACGGAAACTGTAAATCACCGAAACCAATGAGAACAAACACAGGTACCACCCCATAAATAAACAACTGCAAAATCCAAGCCATCGATCTTGCTTGACGTCGCGCCAACCTTCAAATCGTCGACCTGCGTGTCCAAAAGATTTCAATAAATATTCTCGTGGAATAACAACTCGCACGATCGGTCCTTTAACACCGCAAGCAATGCGTCTGCCAAGCCAGGCGACAGAAACGATGCGCCGCAGAGGCAACACTGGAAATCGTCGTTCACGACGAAGACGAGCAACGAACGAATGCTGTCGGTCGATCAATCCATTCATTCATTGTTACTGGGAGGTTCGCAAGCAGTACGAGGGAGAATATCCTTCCCAGATTATCGCGAGAATCGCGGCAGGTCGATGGGAAACGATGAGAATCGAGGAGAAGCAGATTTACGTTCGGGCTGCAACGGAACAGCGTAAGAAACGCAGCAAGGCTTTCTTCAGAAGGAATTAGGTTCGCCTAAAACATCCTCGAATTGAAACCACTAAGTACTTTATCCAATGAATATAATTGACACTATTTTTTCTGTTTTTTTTTTCTAATTAGCGTCGAACAGTAATTTTATTCTGACTATTAATTTTATTTCTTGCATAAACTGGTATAATGTTTTAATTCACATTCGGCTCTGAATTATGTTCTTTGGCTAATTTATGAGGAGCCTTTATTTGAAATATATGCTTGACATTATTCTAGAATCCATTTGGCTTGTTCTCTGCTTTAAAAATGATCTTAGACTGTTGTTGAATTGTTTTGACAAAAATTACTAGGTCAGAGATAAAATTTTAAAGGCTTGAAGATTTTAAGAATATTTATATATTATATACACAACTTATTAAAATTTAATTATTAATCATGAAAATAAATTTTAATAAGTTCTATATAATATAAAAATATTCTGAAATTCTTCAAGCTTCCAAAATTTTGCTTCTGACATAGTAACATAAACATTGCACAACTTGATGATAGTAAATAATTAATTATGAGAATAATTACCATCAAGCCATGCAGCGTTTATTCTGCATAAAAATCCACTGCGCAGTTTCGGTTCTATCAATTAAATTGCTTCGATTTCGTGGGATTCGTAGAATAAAGGTTCCTCACAACGGTTCCTCGAACCGAAATCGATACTCTATAGCAACGCTCAAGTCCCGGTGGCATAACTGCCCGGCATTCGTTTCACAGATTCTCTCCGTGAGCTCGTGGAATTTCAAGAAGCAAATTAGCAGATCGAAGTTTCAATTACACAGAAAATTGCGCGCTCTCCTGGCCCTCTTCGCGAAATTGTCCTCCCGGCGCTGCAAGACATTTTGGACGAGCGGAAAACGTTTTCACCCGGATCGGAGCATCGGAAATCGGTTGGATGTTCGACGAATTTTTGTACAGCGCGACGCGGCGCGCGGCTTTTGTATTTTTGGTTTTTCCGTTTTAGAGGGAATTGTTAATTTGTGATGAACCTTTTGCACCGGTTTGTATTGTCTTGTCAGTTTATTGTACTGGAACTGTGTAAAATATTATATTGAGTTTGCATATTATATTCCGGGTATTATTCGCGGCGCGTTTTTGGCATTCGCGCCGGTGGAAGCGACGCGGCATTATTCCGCCCGACAGCGGGACAATTGAATCGTTCGATTAAATGCAACCGCTATTGTGTCACACCGATTGTGCGTGTATGTAGGTACAATTTATGTGCAGGCCGTTCGACTGACTGTGTCAAATAGTTTAGCGGGTGATTGCGAGCCAAGTATAATTATATTCTCTCGGTACCTTGTTTTCCGCGATCAAAGTGCAGGGTTTAAAGCACAATTCTACTGGTCGATCTAAGGCGAGAATGAAGAATTGCGAAATTCTAGGCAGTTTTAGACGAAAACGGGGAATTAGAAATATAATTTAACCAGCCAATTTAAGACGAAAACGAAGAATTAAAAGTATAATTTAACCAGTCAATTTAAGACGGAAACGAAGAATTAAAAGTATAATTTAACCGGTCAATTTAAGACGGAAACGAAGAATCAAAAATACAATTCTACGCGAAAGTTTTAAACGGAAACGAAGAATCAGAAATATCATTTTAGCTGACAGTTTCAGATGATATCGAGGAATTAAAAGTACAATTTAATCAGCCAATTTAAAACGAATATAAATTATTGGAGTTTCTGTCACGTTCATAATTTTCGTAAGCGTTAAAAAGTTAAAGAGTTGACGTAAAATTTTCGCCATCGCATTTTCTCCGTGTCGCCTGTAATACGAAATTCGCGAAGCCGATAAAAGGGAAGGATAAATGAATTCCAGCAGTCCAACAAATCCAGCATAATATCCTGTGTCGCTGTAACAGGGAACGTTGTAAGCTCGTGTGTTTAGATTAGGATTTTACGGGAGGGTGAAAGGATGGCGGCTCGGGGGCGGTGTTTTTATTAACCCCGGCGTGAGAGGTGTAGAAAAGCAGGCAATACCATTAACCAGGAGACCCCTAAACTTCGCGAACTCAATCCCATTTCGCTGGCTCGGGATCGGGATCGGGATTTCCAAGGCCCTGTTCGCGCGCCGCGAACCTCGTTCTCCCCATGAGAAAGAAACGCTGTTCCTTTATTCGCCTAACGTCGCCGATTTTACGTCGCCTTGGGCCGGGACCAAACTCAATTTCGATATCGAATACCGTACAGGTCCAACGCCATAGCTAACCTCATGACTGACCCCATGATTTCATCCTCGTAACGAAATAATGTCAGAAAAATTCTAAACGAAAATGCCACGAATTGAAACTCGTCTAGAAAGTTTGGAAAATTTTTGAACTGCTTGAAACTTCCGTCGATTTCAAGACTGAAGTCTCCTCCTTAAAATGAGATCTCAAAACTTGATCCATGATCTTTTCTCGGCGTTTTATCGAGCTTCGAGTGCAAAGTGTACTGCCAATTTTGCGATAATATGAAGACTTTGGACGACCAAACTTGGCTCTCATCTTTGTTCTGCAAAATGGCGAAAAAAGATCTTGGATCAATCTTCGAGGTGTCGTTACAAAGGGGAGGCTTCAGACTTCAAGTTAATAGTTGATTCAGTCGAGAAAAAAAATTTTTCAAGGATTCTGCAGACGTTTCAATCTGTAGTAATTTTGTGGTAAAACGTGTGTTCAGTTTTCCACCCGTCGTATTGTGCACAAAATTCTAGAACAAAAATCGAAGACCAGATATGAAAGTACATACTTCAAGCTTTAAAATCAGTGCATACTTATATTAATACGCGCACCTTTTACGACGTTATAGTAATTCGAATATCATCGATTTCCAAGCCGATTTATATTTCCAGTAAAAACGTGCCTCGAGTTTTCCATCCGCTATATGATGCAAAAAAATATCGTAGAAAAAAATCAAAGATGGGGTACGAAAGTAGATACTCGAGGCTTTAAAGTGAGTCGAGATTTATTACCGTACGATTCCGTTTCACGAAATGGCAGCGATTTAAATACCGTCGATTTCCCTAAAATCGAAAATTCGATGTTCCAGGGAAAATAGAATCGCATGCTAGGAGATATTGCTAGCGAATAAATTGCAGTAGACGAAGTTAATCATAGAGGAGGCAGGCAGGATCGGGAGTCGTCGAACCACCCCCCCTCCCTCGGAGGGGTGTGTTTTCGTTGAGGAGGGAGGGAGAGAGAGAGAGAGAGAGAGAGAGTGAGAGAAATAGAGTTAGAAAAAGAGTGAGAGAGAGAAATAGAGAGAGGGTGGAATGGAGGGTCGGGGCGCGATCGATAGCACTTTGAAATCGAAAGGCTCGGCTTGTATTCGCCGTCCCGGAATACATTTTCCGGTGCTGCCTTTCCGACTGTCTCCGCCGGCATCGGAGGACCCTTCAATCCTCGACGGTGATCTAATTTCCTGGGTACTTCGGCGACTCTCTCGCCCCGGGTCGACTGTATCCTGTTTCACGTGAACAGACGCGCGTTCAACAAGTAACCCAGCCCTGTCGCGATCTCTCGTCGACGGAATCCTGAGACCCAGGGACGTTCCCCGTGCAATACTACCATCTCCTGGGAAGAACGCAGCCACTGGAGATTGAGAAAGGACCCGAGACCTGCCCCCTCGGTTGAAAAGACCTCCGCCGAAACGACTTAGGGAATTGCTTCGCGGAAATTTGCCGTTTTAAGGGCCGCTCGCTCCTGACATCGATTTTTCAGAAATTTGTCACTCCGCTACCCTCGAGGCGTTCCTTTTTCGAGCATCTTATCGAAGATTTTATTAAGACAGATGGAGGGTGAGAGACCTTCTGGAAAATTTTCTTGAAGATGGATTTTTCGAGGGAAATTGATCGAGGAAACGCCTTTGGGATTTTTGCAGATGATAACGTGATTTTCGCGCGCTATTTTCTGTCCACTCCCACTAAGTCCCCACCACTCCCACCAAGCCACACCCACTTGCATTAGGCCCCACCCACCCGTGTCACTCATTTTCACTGAACGCCTCCACTGAACCCTGCGAACTCCCATTAAGCCCGGTTCACTTCATTCCGACGTGCCCCGCCCACTTCCATCAAGTCCCGCCCATTTTCACTAAGCCCGCCCTCTCTCACTAAGCCCCGCCCATTTTCACTAAGTGATATTTGTCTTTCACTGATTTGATGTTTAAATTATAAAATATATTACGCTTAATTTTGCATGTTCACGAGATATAAAAGTTTTCAAGAAATTATAAAGTTCATTGTTTAACATTTGAAGGTAATTTATTCACGGTAAAGCAAAGAGAAATGTGGAACAGCCAAACGAAAGAAGCACTGAAATGAAATGACGCGGTTCAAAATTTAGTTGACATATTTTTCTGACTGAATATAAATATTGTTGCAATCGAAGATATCAAAATGAACGCATCGCCGAATAATACGTCAATAATTGTAAGCGACGCTGAAACGTTGTCACTGATTCGCAATATTCGAAGCAAAGTATTATTCATTCGGGTAATCTAGTATTGATGACACCCTGGGGAAACATCGCCGATATCACTAGCAATCATTCGAATCAGTGTTAATTTAGTCAGTTCCAGTAAAACAGTGTCCTCGCGGGGCAATGTATTGCAATATATTGGACGCCTGCCGGAACCTAATTAGGAGCTCTTCGTCATTATTACGTGATTGTGACATACACCTATTCTCCATTATACAGTAACATATTTCTCTCTTTACGCGAACGCTTAGTTTTTGCTACAATTTTTTTTTATAACAATTTTGTTACGTGATCGCGACGTACATCTAATCTCTATTATACCGCAATATATTTTTCTCTGTATTCGAACTCTATCAATTGTTATTACAAATTTTAACTTCCACTTAAATTCCAGTTAAAAAATTACCGTTAAAATAACATAAAAATTTTCAAACTAATACTAAACTAATTTATCAATCCTCTTTAATATCATCTCACATTTAACATAATTAATAATTAATTATGATTAAAATATTAAAAATAATTAATAATAATTAATAATTAATAATAACAATAATTAATAAATAACGCACTGAACGTTCAACTACACGCACAAACTGTTTGCAAAATAAATTGTTAAATAAGTCAAATAGAAAACTGTAAACACGTTAGAAAATGTTAAGAATATTGTTACATTACTTCCAGCTGTTACAATTATTAAATGGTGAAATATACTTTCGTCTAACTTAAATTTTTATTCTGCATAAATATCCGCAGTCTAGCAATAATCATCACTGATAATAGAGCGGCCTGAAAAATCAATCAAACTTCTCGCCGAGTCTCTACGAGTTAATCGAATCGAGTGATTAATCAACAACCGAATTAAGACGGCACAGAGAGATTTGGTGAATCGGGTCTCTCGTTCGAAGTCGGTCGGCTCTCGTCGCTGGTAACGAAGAATTAATCTCTAATCAAAGGAGTTCGTTCGATCGACCGATCGATCATTCTGGTGGTTAATTAACGATCTACTTAGAGAGAACGGGGAGAACGGGCCGCGGCAAGATAAATGGAAGCTTCGTAACGGGGGGAACGTGGTCGATCAAGGTTTCAGTAATTCGTCGCAATCGAGTTACCGGGCTCGTTTTCCCGTATCCTCGTTTCTTTCCGTTTGTCTTCGCTCTTCGCTGCTATCTCGCGTAACACCATGAAATATTCACCAGTCGATGAAAGGCGACCGGCGACTTACAACTCGCTCCCTTGCCATCTGCTTTCGAAAAATCCACGTCAACTTTTCAGCTTCGAGTCATCGGAAAATATCGCGCGGAATCAAAGCTATCTAAAGGAAATTTTTTCAAAATTGTATCTGAGAGGAAGAGAAAGAAACTGCCCAACATTTACTGTAAAAAGATCATCCTACAAAATTCAGGCGATTTAATTAATTTAAGCCGAAGCTGATTACAAAGTGATTGCGTTATTTATCCTTTTATCTGGTTGTTCGGAAAGTAATTTTTCGAAACATATTATATATATATATACATATATATTAATATATATTATAATATTATATTATATTAATATATTATAATATTATATTAATATATATATAATATTTTATATAATATTTTT